AGGCAGCTTTGAAACAAGAGATGAGTGCAGAGAAGTTGTTAGTGACAGAACAACTGGCAGCAAAACTTAATGGCAAGGTTTAGGAAATCAATATCCAGACACAAAACCCACTCAGGTATGAAGTCACCACGTCACAGCCCTGCTGCTGACCCCCATGGGGTCTCAGAACCACACCGAGGTGCACAGGCTGACTGAAAGCCCTCAAAGCAGTCAGTGACAGCCACCCCAGAGAAGGATCCCCATTGCTTCTGGACCTGAACTTTGACTGGAAAAGCAAAATTAACCCAGTGAGGTCAGCAGGAAAATAAAAGTTTGTGTTCAGTAACAGAATGCTTTCTGTCTCTGCAAGAGAAGGGATTACCTGCTCTGTGCTGAAGTTTAACTCTTTCCATGGCATTGGCCTACCATCAAACACCCGCTGGCCTACTGCAACGTAATGGAACTGCCTCATCTGACAGAAGAAATTGCTCAGATTGTCAGGATTCCAGGTTTCAAGAATGCTGAAGATACTTTCTAGCATAATATTGGCAGCAATTTTCTTCCCTTCCACTATTTCCTTGTTTTTATCCAAACTCAATTTCTGCCGGATGTTTTTGACTGTGGAAGGCTTTGCACACACGATGTCATCATACTGGTGCCACACTGGAACAGCAACACAAGAACACAGGAAAACAACCATTGCAATCAGGTGCCTTCTCCCTTCCAACTGCCACAGCAATATCCCCAGCAGCCCACTGAGCTGCCAGCTTCAGACAGGGCTGCCTGCAGGAATGCTGGGCCATAGGAAAGCAGGGATCACCCCAAGGTGCAGGTCCAGCCAACAGAGCTCACCTCCATTTTTGAGGAATCTACTGTTTATCAATAAGCAGCGATTCACGGGATTATTGGATACTGTGTTCTTGTAAATGAACTCATACTCCCCTTTCCCACAGGTCACCCAGTACTTGTAAGGAATGTAATCATTCAGGATTTCTCTGCTGAGAGTTACATCACCTTCAATGAGGTATCCATGTTCTTCCAGAGGCCTTGGAAACACAAACACAGCAAAGGCAGGCAAAGGACACATTAGCTGATCTCCAGACCTCCTTTTCCAGGCATTGCTCCATTTTTAATAGGAATGGTGACGCTTTAGAACAGTTTTCTCCACTGTGAAGCCCCTTGCTGCAACCCCCAGCTGTGGGCACAGAGCCACCCCTTGCACAGCGGCTGAGGCCCCACAGAGACCCCGTTCCCAGAGCAGGGAACACTCACCGGATGCACTTCAGCTCGCAGATGTTGTCCTCCCAATCAGCATAGGAAGGAATGCCCTGGGCCCTGATGAACACTTTATCGGTACTGGGGTTGAGCTTGAAGTCTTTGGATAATATTGCATGGAAATACACTGTAATACCCTCATTGCGGCTCACAGAACTGCAGGAAAGAATTGGAAGGGGAATAGAAAGGATTCTGTTGGGGTTTTTTAATTGCACAAGTCACTGTAGACCTCAAATCAGACTCGATTTGAGACGAGTTGAGTGGCTGCAAGATCCATAAACTCTGGCAGCAGTTCACTCAGGCTGATGTTTGAGCAAGCCTACCGCAAAGCCCAGTGCAAAAAGGAAAAATGGGCTCGTAAAGGCAGCAGGAGATGCTCTGGCCTAGCAGAGTCACCTGGAATGGCCACACTTTCCACCCCTTCCAGCTCATACACATTAAGCAAAACATCAAAACAGCTCTTCACACTATTCACCTGAAGCATTGTGTGTGTGAAGCACGTGGTGCTCATTAGAGCAAGAAATAAGAGAATAACCTCTTTTTTATCCATCAGATGCTCAAGCAGGTTCAACACAACACCCAGGACATCACCTGTGCTGCATCTCCCATTCAACACCCCTCTGTCGTGCACAACCACCTCACCTCAGTTTCAAGACAACTCCATTTCCACATGTCCAAGGCACATACTGACCCAATCCCAGCACCTCAGTCGGGAGTCCTGATTCCTCCTCAGAGCAACTCCTGTTAGTGAAGAATGCTGGGAGCACCAGGGCTGTTCTCACCTTTCTTTAACCTTTTCCACAGGTTTCTGCTTCTTTTGTTCCTTTTTGTTCTTGGAGCTGTCTGCAGCAGCCACAGCACCCTGCTTTCTGGCAGCCTCCGCTCCTTGGCTCTGACTTGTCTTTTCACTCATATTGGGCATTTTCTCACATGGGGTCTGATTTTTCTCTTCTGATTTTTCTCATTCTGCAACAGGGAGACAAACAATGCCCAATGAAACAGGAGACCCTGGAAGCACAGCATCTCCTCCTGGTGTGTCAGCACTTGAGAGACAGGACTCCTGGTGCAAGCAAGAAGCCATTTATTGTTTCTACAACTCCATTTATAAACTCTTACAGCCTTAGGTAAAATTTTTCACTGCTAAGAAATAACCACGTTTCTTAGCTACACTGCTTAACCAGTCTTGCATGACTTCCTTTAAACAAAGCCAATTTCCTTTTTGTTTCCTCCCTTACATTTCTGTTCGACGTTCCCAGGGCCACCAGAGTCAAGATGTTCACATCACCCATCAGCTGTGCAGTACTTTCTGCTCTACTGCCCATCTGCCCCCCAACACTGGTGCACCACCAGCTTCATCCTCCTGGAAGCACTGATCCCTCGCTGAGGGAAGCCACTGGTAAGGAAAACAGCCCATGAGGAGCCCAACCCAAGCACACTGCCACACAGCTCAGTGAGCCCCAGTCCCAGAGGATGGGGCATAAAGAAAGCGAAAGAGAAACCACAGCAACTTCCAGCTTACCAGGCCTGTGTATGAACAGAGCACAGGCACCTGCAAAACACAAAATCCCCTTATTCAAGGGGATCCCAGAGCTCTCCAGAGAGCATGGCTGGCTGGAGAAGAGACACCTGCCACTCCTGGGGGCATCTGGGCCACCCCTCAGTGAGAGCTAGAACTGACACCCAGAAGAACAGAACTCAAATTAGAGCGTAATCCTCCTCAATTCACCCCTGTATGCCTGGGCTGGTGCTCCTCAGCATCACTGACAGCACGAGCAGGTCACACTGACAAAGGAAGCTTTGCCCACTGGAATACTCACCAGAGCTCACTCACACTCACTTTAACAGTGGAACTGGTCCCTTTCTGCTTGAGCTCCTTCCCAGCCTGCGGGCTCTGAGCCCCAGGGGAGGTCTTGGTCTCAGGCTTGTTTTGGGGGGCTCCCTTGGCAGGAGGCAGCCCAGAGGGATTCGCTGCCTGCCCTGCTGACAGCAGCTCCTTGCTGCTGCCCCAGGCCCGGGAACTCGCTGTGGCTGCTGGCAGCTGGCCAGGGGCACCACTGCCCCTTCCACATTACCTCTGGCTGCTCCATCCCCCACCTTGTCCCCTGGGGCTGCGGCACTGTGAGCTGGGGCGGCCCCCCTGGCTGTGCTGCTCTGTGGGGCTCAGCCTTTCTGCTTCCGGGCTGCCAGCTTCCTTCCCCAGGGGTGCAAATGCCTGTTGCCTTCAGGTGCATCTCCACTGGCATCAGTGCATCCATCAGCACCTGCCTTTGCTCCCTCACCAATGAGGGGTTGGATTTCCTGAGGAACAACACATGTGTCAGGCAACTCTGTGGTTTGAGGAGGCAGAGAGTTCAGGGCAAGAGGTTCCCTGGAGATGGACATATGTTTCTTTGCTTTACTCTTGTTCTCTTTCTATTAAAAAAAGAAAAAGACCACAATGTCTGTTTATTCATGGCCAAAGGGAAACTCTTTGTCACCTCCTCGGTTGCAGCAAGTGCCGACATCTTCCTGCCACACAGGGCTAACAGAGAATGATCAGGAAGAGAAGGTACAAGACCAGCCAGTGAAACGCAAATAACTCTTGAGAACTGTGTAGGTTTAATACTCAAGACCTGCTCAGCAGGAGCAGAGAGCAGTGCAGCAGTGTCTAAGCTGACTCATGTAATTTGTGGTTTCCCCCTCCCGGCACCACAGCTCCACACGCACAACACAGCCTCAGCAAACACAGCGAGCTTCTCCTGGAGGAAGCCAGGCAGCAGCTCCCTGACATGGCCAAAGGAATGTGGGGGATGCAGCTTGGTCTCCTCACTTCTAGCAAGAGAGCAACAAGGCACAGCTGCTCCCCAGCACCCAGCAGGGTCCTCACCTTCTTCTGCAGAGGAACCACCTGAGCAGAGGGCTCTGTGTTGTCCCCTGGAGCTGTGACATACTCCAGCACTGAGGATCCCTCTTCCTCCTCCCATGTCTCAGCAGAGCTGGGAGATTCACCTGCAGTGTCAGGTGTGCTGTTGGGCAGAGCACCTGCTCGGTCCATCAGTGACTTACCCTTTGTCTCCTTTATTTCAGTGGTGGAAGAAGGCCCAGCAGCACCTTCTCCCTTCACCTCTTCCTCTGCATCAGGGACTGCAGGGAGCTGCACCCCTCTTCTCCCTGCAAAGCAGGGAAATTAATCGTTAAACTGGAAACTCACCCCCCAGAGGGGTCGCAGGATGGTTTGGGTTGGAAGGGACTTTAAAGCTCATCTCATTCCACCCCTGCCACAAGCAGGGCACCTTGCACGGGACCAGGTCACTCCAAGTCCCTGGATGGGGGAGAGCATCAGAAAAAAAGGCAAGACTTGTGGGTTGAGATAAACACAGTTGAATAGGGCAGAAAAGGAAAATTACAGTAACCATCCAGGAATATCCAAAGCCAGTGATGCACAGGGTGCTTGCTCACCACTCTCTCAGCAATGCCCAGCCAGCCCCTGAGCAGTGGCCCTCACCCCTCGGCCAAATCACCCCAGTGTTTCCTTCAGCACCATCCCCCTCTGGGCACTGGGGCAGCTCTCCTGGCTCTGCCCCCTTCCAGCTCCTCGCTGCCCGGGCAGCCTGGGAGCCTGAGAAATCCTTGGCTCATTGGAAGCACTGCTCAGCAGCAGCTCAGCCATCCGGCTGTGATCAACAGCAGCCTTATCCTGAGCTCAAACACAGCTCTGAGCCCGCTCCTGGGAAGAGCATTGCCTCTGTCCCAGGCAGAGCCAGGACATGAGCCCCGCTCGCTGCCCGGCTCGGCCCCGCCCAGGGCGGTGCTACCCCGTGGACGGGGCCCATATGCAAATGAACCGCTATGTGATGGGCGGAGCCTGCATGCAAATGAGACAGCAGTGTGATGGGCGGGGGCTGTATGCAAATGAATTGTTAACTGTTGGGCGGGGCCTGTATGCAAATGAGACCGCTATCTGATGGGCGGAGTCTGTATGCAAATGAGACCGCTATCTCATGGGCGGGGCTAGCGCGACTCTCCGGGGGGGGCACAGGCAGGACCGGAATGGACACGGGGGGGGGGCGAGGGTACACGGGGGGTACACGGGGGGTACCGGGGGGGTAACCGAGGGGGACACGGGGGGATACACGGGATAGGGGCGTCCCGAGTGAACGGGGAGGAGATGGCAGTCCCCGGGGACGCACCGGAGGGCTCCGGGCGGGTCGGGCATCAGGGTGCGCCAGGGAAATCGAAGCACACGGAGGCGCTTCGGGGGCACCGCGAGGGTGCAGCGGGGCCCGGAGCCCGCAGCGCCGCCTGCCCCGGAGCCGCGGCTGCCCCCGCCCCGCGCCGCCCGCCCCGCAGCCCCCCAAGCCCCGCGCCGCCACTCGCCGCCCCGGCAGCGCGACTCACCGAGTGACCACTGGAGTGAGCGGGCACGGTACGGGCACCACCACCCGCAGCGCCCGCTCGTCCTGCCGCTCCAACGACTCCCGCCCGCACAAGTTTCCTTTCTCCGCCGAGGCGCCAACTTTCGTTTTCACAGGCTCGGTCCCCACCCAGACCACCCCGGCCAAGCCCGGCCCCGGCCGCCCCACCGCTCCCGGGCGGCTCTCGACGGGTCCCTCCCCGTCTGGACCCCCCATTCCGGCCGGGGTGCCCTCCGGTACCCCCCGAGCATCCCCCCACCCTTCAGCCGGGTGCAGGAGTCCCCGGCCGGCGCAGGGGCGCAGGCAGGACCCGGCAGCAGCAGTGAGGGCAGGTGCGCTGGAGGAGAGCACTTTGTGCTGGTCCCGACAACCAAAAGCGGATTCCGCAGTCAAAAGTGGGGGCACGGCTGCTGCCCCATCCCGGATCCGACCAGGACCGAGCCGAAGACGGGCTCCCAGCAGCCCTGCCCTAAACAAGCATCCCATTTTACCCCCGTGCCCCTCTTTTCCCCCTCGCGGCATACCCACAGCTCAGCGCACTCCAGGGCAGGACCCAGAGTCCTGGCAGGTGTGTGGCTCCCGGACACCTGTTCCGCCCTTCCAGCGCCTGCGGCAGCAGGAGCTGCGCAGAACGTGCCCTCGGGCTGCGCTCGCTCAGCCGCACTGCCCCAGCTTGCTTTCGGTTTCTTTCCCCAGCACACTGAGCAACACCCAAAAGACAACTCCCCTTCCCACACAAAAGTAAAAAGCTTTCCCTCTGGAAGGGAGAGATCCCACTGACTTCATTAGCAGTTTCTGATTTATTGCACCCTCGATGTCCCGAGGGCAGTTCAGGGTAACTGAATTCCCGACCCTGCCCAGCCCCACCAGGTGCTGTCCCCATCGCACAGCCTGGTGCCACCGTGCCTGTCCCCCTGGCAGGGCCCAGGCCAGGGCCTGCACCCCAGGGTGACAGCCCAGCCCTGACCCAGGGCAGCGTTTGGCACAACACTCCACAGACAAGATAAGGATAAAAAAAGGTAAGGATAACTAAGGATAAAAACCAGTAAGGAGTTATTATTTATTATTTATTATTATTTAAGTTATTATTTATTATTTATGTTATAAATAATAAATGATAAAGCCAACTCAATAATCAATTTTTGATTTTTATTTTTTTTTAATTTTGCGACCAGGATTCAGTCTCAGATAGCCACAATCAAAGGGACAGCGTTGAGCCCGGGATCGGCGCTGGGTGACCACAGATCTGAACTCTACCACTTTGGATCCCCTCTGTGCACAAATGCTGTCTCTGCGGGGCTAGTTTTATACGGGTTTTTTCACCTGGGGCATGCTGGGCTGGGCAAAACCTTTTCTGGGAAATGATGAATGCTGATTGTCGAGTTACAGGAACCTGGTATTGGGATGCACATTTTTGACGACTCTTACTAATCGAGTATGCATCTGTTGGGTGTCTCTGGACTGTCCCGGGAAAGGGCTCATCTCTGCACAGAGCCACATCTTTTTGTTTGCTAATTAGGTTTTTTTCTCTTCCCGGCTGCGGCTTGTGATTTTAAATCTTTAAGAATTTTTTGTACAAGCACAGCTTATTTAATTTATATTTTACACAGGAACGAATTATTCCATAACATATATCACAAGTACAATCCCAGATGTTTTCCCTCTCCTCAGCTGGAGGCTGAGCCCATGTGTCTGCTTGGAGGGCAGCACAGCAGCCCTGAAACAGCTTTGAGAGCTCCCCAAGTATCACCACTGGAGCATCCCAGAACATAAAAAAGGTCCAGAATTAAAAGAGTTGTTTAAAAAATGTCAGCAGCTCCCTGTAGGAAGGATGGCTTTGCACTGGTCACTGTGACAAGGAACAGTTTTGTCCCACAGCCTGTGTGGGGTTGGGCTGGCTCTGTTCTGTGCATCTCGGTGTGGGACATGGGGACAGGCCATCCCCATGCCCAGGGTGGGGCAGGTGGCTCCCACGGAGGGTGCTGGTGTCACTGGGCTGGCACAGGACGTTCAGCCCAAACTGGTCTCGCTGGATGAGCCCGGTGCTCTTGGCAGTGCTCACGAAGGGCTCTGCCCTGCTGCCTCTCAGCTCTGCTGACCTGCACTGCTCTGGGACAGGGGAGGGGGAAGCAGAGTCAAAGCAAGGCTCATGTCCTGGCTCTGCCTGGGGCAGAGGCAATGCTCTTCCCAGGAGCGGGCTCAGAGCTGTGTTTGAGCTCAGGATGAGGCTGCTGTTGATCAGAGCTGGATGGTTGAGCTGCTGCTGAGCAGTGCTTCCAATAAGCCAAGGACTTCTCAGGTTCCCAGGCTGCCCGGGCAGCGAGGAGCTGGGAGGGGGCAGAGCCAGGAGAGCTGCCCCAGTGCCCAGAGGGATGTTGCAGAGCACAGGGCATGGTGCTGAAGGAAACACTGGGGTGATTTGGCCGAGGGGTGAGGGCCACTGCTCAGGGGCTGGCTGGGCATTGCTGAGAGAATGGTGAGCAAGCACCCTGTGCATCACTGGCTTTGGATATTCCTGGATGGTTATGTCTCAGTTTGGAAAGACAGGTGCCTGCTAAGGAAGGCAGGAGCCTCCCCTGAAATGGAGAATGCGAACCACCCCACCCCCCCACCCCCTTCCAAATTGCTATAAATTTTAAATTAAGGGGCTCTCAGGCAAAAAATATGGGAGCAGGCAAAAAATATGGGAGCAGGAAATGAAAGTTCTTTAATAGGGAAGAAAATAAAAGGCTAAAATAAACAATGCAGTGCACTAGAACAACACTGACAGAGTCAGAACCCAACCTGACACCCTGTTGGTCAGGGTGTTGGCAGCAGTCCAATTGGAATTGTGGCTGCAGTCCTCCTGGAGTGTCAGGTGTGGTTCTGCTGGAGCAGGGATCCTGTAAAAAAAGGGTGTAGTCTTCCTCTGAAGATCCAGTGGAAGAAGAGGCAGCTGCTGTTCCTCTGGGAAATCCAGTGAAGAAGCTGTGCTAGTATTCTACAATCTCCAGATTATATCTGGAGGAGCAATGCTTGGCTCCTCCCTTTGGGCAGAGCATCTCACAATGGGATGCCACAGTTCTTATCAGTCATAAGCAGATGTGGAGTAAAAATATGGGTGATTGGTGTTAGAAGTATTAACAGCATTGTGGGGCAAAAGCCAATAGGCTGAAAAACATTTATAAGGTATTGTAACCAGGAAATAGGGTGGCTTCTGACAGAATGGCATTGAGTTTTACATCTCTTATGTCTCACCCTTCATCAGGACTGATAATGGAATAAAATCTTTTAAAACACCTCTCTGTTGCCCCGTCTCTGAAAAGCTGGGAAAACCAGCTAAGGCAAGGGGAGAGGCTCACTTTTATTGGTGGCCCGGCAAGGAGAACCCCAGAAACCAGCACCCCAGCCACGATTCCATACTCTGTCACACAGAGGGGCACAAGGTCCAGCCCTGCAAGAGAGAGAAGCCAGGCTCAGCTGTGGCTGGTCCTGGTGGCACAGGGCATTTAGTGACAGTGCCAGCTCTGCGGGCACAGCCAGGCTGCACCTGGGTCTTGAGGAATCCATTCTGTGCAGGTCGCTGGGGCAGCTTTGGTGGAGCTGCAGGTGGAGCTCTGGGTAGGAGCCCTTGGAAGGGCCTGTTACAAAAGACCCAGGCATCAGTGGGCAGCCACATGATGGGACACTAAAGAGAGAGTGATGGGACACTTAGAGACCGTGATGGGACACTTAGAGGCAGTGATGGAATGCTCAGAGACCTTGATGGGACACTCAGAGACCACCCCCAGACTTAAGCACGTCTGTGAGGGGATAAAAAGATAAAAGCTCATAGGCTCCTTTGTTCTGGATCCCTTCTCAGAAATACCCAACTTGGGCTGTTATTCTGTTATTTAGTTACGGCACGATGATTAAGTTATTTCAAGCATCTGGATGTCTGAGAATCTGCTATGGGAAACCTGGGGTAGAGCCGGTGAGGAGACCTGGTCTGTGTGACTGGGGCAGGGGGAGCCGTGAAGGGGCCTCTGTCCCAGCTCAGGGGGGCGAGTGTGACCGCCGGAGTGGCTCCTGGATGGCTGGACTGGGGGGACTTCCTGTTGCCCACTGATGCCCTCACTCTTAACCTGCCAGAGCATCCAGAAGATGCCAGCGTCGAACATGGGCACCACGGCCGGCACCACTTTGGGGATGTAATTGAAGAGAGAGGTGAGGTACACCAGGGACAGCAGGACCAGGCACCTGTGGGAGAGGGACCCTGAGCCATGGGCCCCCCAACACCCAGAGGTCCCCGACACCCAGAGGTCCCTGATGCCCAGGGATCCCCAGCACGGGCAGCAGCCCGGGGGCAGGGCAGGGGCAGGGTCAGGGCTGGGCTGTACCTGTGACGAGCCCTCCTGTGGGGGTGCAGACCCCAAACCCACATGACGGGGAGGCTGAGGGCTGCTCCTGCCCGCTGCCCAAAGACCCCACCCAGGAGAACCACCCGCCCTGTCAGGGAGGAACACGAGCAAGCCCTGGCTTCCAGGACTGCACAGCAGGAAGGGAGGTGGCCCTCCACAGAAGGGAAGGCAGCCACTTGGACACACGCATAGCCCAGCCACCAAGGTGGGCTGCTGAGGACCAGGACACGAGCTCAGGGACCCGCTGGGGACAGCACAGCCTTCCACTCAGGATGTTGCAGAGATCTCTCACCACACAGCCCCAGCAAGTGCCCTGCTCCCCCTCCTGCTATCCACGGGCCAAAGCTGCCCGTGATAGGGTATGAGGAGACGAAGGAGCCCAGGACATTGTTGACACCTGAAGAGACAAAGGAGAGAGGCTGGGGAGGCATTGCTGTGTTTGTGTTCCCATGTGCTCCCTTTGTGACCTTTTCCCACCTTCTGGCTGGGAGCTGGAGACAATGCCTGGGGACTGGAGACAATGCTCGAGGCTGCAGACAATGCCCACCCACTGCAAGAGTGACTCACCCTGCTCCGGAAATTCCTGTGCTGTGTTAGGAAAATTAATCTACAAACACTGGAGGTTTATGTCTAAAAAGGAGACAGAGTCCTTTTACTTTATTTGAATAAAGGGAGACGCCATGAGGTGCTCCCCTGGGATCTCTCAAATTTTTGAAGGACACAGCCTCTCTTTTTATTCTAATTTCCCGTCCGCATTTCCCTTCTCTTTCCCCATTGGCTGAGGTACTTGAGAGGTCCAGACTTCCTGATATGCCTGATACCAAAGACTTCCCTCTAATGTATAACCCTCCCTTTTAATTTTTAATTCCTATGGAATTTAGAGGTTTTTCTTCCCCGTTGTTTCTTTCATCTTTCAATGTCTAATTACATTTATCAGCAAACCTAAAGTTTATTTGTAAAAGCAAATATCTTTTTCCATTCATCAATCAGTGGAATCCTTCCCATTGTTTTTTATATCTCACAGAGCTAGTTTTATCTACCAGGAGACCCACAGCTTGTTTGTAAAGATAAATCTGCTATTCCTCTCAGCTGTGAGAGCATTTGAGGTAAGGGAGGGAAAGTTCAGTGGAGGCAGGACTGCCCAGATGAGGATATCAGGCAGCTCAGGGGCTGTGGGACACGTGGCAGTGCTGAGAGCCCCATCCCTGCCCTCCTGAGAAAGCAGTTCTTACCCAGAGCCAGCAGTTCCTGGCCAGGGTCAATCCTGTAACCTTTCTGCGAGGCTGAAAGGAGATGTTGGCGTGGCCTGAGGCTCCCACAGGCACCTGCCACGCACACGGAGAGAACCAGCAGTGTGGGCCCTGTCCCGGCACCCCTTGGGCAGAGGAGCACCCTGAGACAACACTCACATCCTGAGCAAATTTCAGCTGGGCACCCACAGGACCCCTCCTGCCAGCCCATGCTATGAGCTGGAGCCCAGTCCCCCCCAGTGCCCCAAAAGGAACAGCACCTTCCTCAGCACCCCGAGTCCTTGCAGAGACCCCCTGAGAGCACAGGCCAGGGCCCTGACACAGCCCTGCCAAAAGCCTTGGAGATGGCAATGGTCTCCAGCAGCCCCATGAGCAGCACCACAGCCAGCCCGACCCCCATGTCCTGGGAGGGAAGGATCCAGTCAGGGGGGCTGGGACCCAGCACAGGCAGGAGGGAGCAGAGCAGCCCCTGGGGAGCTGCCAGCGCCCACCTGCACCATGCTCTGGAAGGGGATGGTGCCAGTGGGCGCTGCCAGGGAGAAGCGTGGTGGCCGCAAGGCCAGCAGGCCCTGGGGGAGGCTGCCGCCAGTGACTTGGCTCCTGCCAGCCTGGGCTTTCCCAGTTTCAGGCTCTGTCTTCCCTGACCCAAAGAGATGAGCCCCCAAAAGGGGACAGAGCAGGGGACAGCTGACATACCTGTGGCAGAGATCCACACAATCAGGTAGCTGATCCTGACAGCCAGTGGTTCTGTGGGGGCAGCTTGGGGCAGGTGGCCCTTCATGGCCTAGAGCCCTGTCAGAGGCTCTGATTTGGGTTAACCACAAAGGAAGTGTGGCAGCCAGCTGAGCCTCAGGTCCCTGCGAGGCCAGCGAGGGGCTGCAAACCACCCTCAACTTCCAAATTTGCAAACCCACCATGCCAGAGAATCGCCCAGTGCCTCCTACAAGTGACCAGATCCCATGTCCTGGTTTTACTGGTGTCCTGGATGCCCCCAGCTGGTCACCAGAAGAGGGTGTGTTCAGCTTGGTCTGCTCCAAGCAGGGCGCTCAGGGACCTAGCAGAACCACTGGCAGAGGGTCCTGGGACCCCTTTGGGGCTCCTTCCCCCCAGCACATGGCCCAGCCCAGCACTAAATATCCCAGCTGCACAGGGACACCATCCCCGGGGACCTTTCTGCCGCTCTCTGGGGCTGAGTTTCCTCCCACAAGGTGCCTGTCCCTGCTCTCACCCTTTTCCACCCCTCCAGACCTGACACTGACAATTCTGGACTTATAGTAGAGGTGGCCTTTGAGTCATAGAGAAATGCATGTGTATTGTACTTGAAGTAGTGTATGTAAAAGCTGGTTCTGTAAGTAAAAGAAAAGGGGAAAATATAGTAGAGGTGGCCTTTGAGTCATGGAAAAATGCATGTATTGTACCTGAATATCTGTATAGAGGCTTTTTCCCCGGGAGGTCCCGGTTGTCCTTGATGGGCTGCAGCTGCGATATCCTTAACTGGGCTGCAGCTGTGACCAATGAAGATAACTGGGATAAAAGGGGGCGGGTTAGCCAGGTGGGGAGGGCCTTGGAGGAGCCCTGAACTAAGAAAGAATAACATGCAGATGAAAGAGTCTGTGCTGAGATGATCTACAGCCATGGGAACGCACCAAGGAGGTATGGACTTTAGAGCTCTGATAACAACAGTATGGGACTCCAGAAATAGAACAACAACAATTTGGTGATCCCGATGTGATAGTTGGTAGAAAATAAGACAGCCAAGAGCTGTGGTGATAGTGGGTAGAAGATAAGAGAGCCAAGAGCTGTGACAGCTCAGAGCTGTGGATAGTTGGTAGAAGATAAGAGAGCCAAGAGCTGTGACAGCCCAGAGCTGTGGATAGTTGGTAGAAGATAAGAGAGCCAAGAGCTGTGACAGCCCAGAGCTGTGGGTAGTTGGTAGAAGATAAGAGAGCCAAGAGCTGCAAAAGAACATAGCCTTTGGGTCAAGGAGCTGTGAAAGAGTATGGCCTTGAGCAAGGAGCTATGTGTGTTATACGTGGCCTTTGAGTCATGGGGAAATATGGGTATTGTACATGGCCTTTGAGTCATGGGAAATGTATGTATTGTACTTGAATATCTGTACAACTGTTAACAAGTAAAAGAAAAGGGGAAAACATAGTAGAGGTGGCCTTTAAGTCATGGAAAAATGCATGTATTGTACCTGAATATCTGTATAGAGGCTTTGCCCTGGGAGGTCCGGGTTGTCCTTGATGGGCTGCAGCTGTGATGTCCTTAACTGGGCTGCAGCTGTGACCAATGACAATAAAAGGGGGTGGGTTAGCCAGTCAGGGAGAGCCTTGAAGGAGCCCTGAACTGAGAGAGAACAACATGCAGAAGAAGGAGTCTGTGCTGTGAAGATCTGCAGCCATAAGAACGCACCAAGGGGGTATGGACTTTAGAAATCCGATAACAACAGCAGTATGGGACTCTAGAGAACTAGAACAACAACATGGACTGGTTCTCCATCCCCTACCCTGCTTACAGCATCTTTGGCACCAGGTGGGTGCAGCTCACTGGAAAGTCTCTCCTGCCAGCTCTGGAGTTGGAGCAGCTGTGGGCCACTGCCTTCAGCAGCCAGAGCCACCACGAAGTGACCATGTGCTACCCCATGCAAG